ATGTTATATCTATGAGATTTATAATCAAAATTTCTTTTTGTTCTCCTAAACGCAATGCTTAATGAGAAAAGAAAACTACACTTCTAAATTGAGAAGAGAGTTTTATAAATTAATAAATTATATAATACAGTTTGTTGGTTTAGAGAATTGGCATAGTTATTCCATTAACATTTGTATATTTAGAGTTGTAATACTAATTACTGTTTAGTAGTAATCTCTTTGTTTTAAATTTATTTTATCTTTTTTTTGCTGGTTATATTGTTTGAAAGCATCGATGATATATTTGAGAATTTTGTAAAAATAAAATATTATATGTTACAACAATTAATAACTTAAATATTTAGAAATAACATTAAAAAATAATTTATAGCTTCAAATTTTATTAACCCTACGTAAATTAGGAGAAAAAATAATGCATACTTTATTATTTTAAAAAATATGTAAAAAGTACTATAAATTATAATAATTAACAGTTTAAAATATTTAAAAATACATATACACGATTTGATTGACTCTTCAAATTTTATCTATGTATAAATTGAGACAGAAAAGTAACATGCATTATTCAAAAATGACATAAACGATATCATATATCACAATAATAAAAACTTAAAATATTAAAAAACATATATATAAAAAAAATTGATTGACGCTTCAAATTTCATTATTGTTATATAAATTAAGACCAAAAAGCATATATTAAACGCGTGTAAACATATTAAAATAAAATCTACAGTTACTAATAATAAAAAATAAATCTACAATATGGGTGATTCCTAAACACTAAGAAGAAGAAAATGAGGTTAAGAAGTGTTTTATTTAAAGGTTTTCATTTTGAAAGTAAACCATCCATATTTCAAAGAACAATTCCGAAATTTTATATATGTATAAATTAAGACAGAAAAATAGCATGCATTATTTAAAAATGATGTAAATGATATCATATATCACAATAACAAAAACTTAAAATATTAAAAAAAATTTATTAAAAAATTAATTGACTCTTCAAATTTCATTATTGTCATATAAATTAAGACAAAAAAACATATATTAGATGCGTGTAAACATATTAAAATAAAAATCTACAATTAATAATAATAAAAAATAAATCTACATATGGGTGATTCCTAAACACTGGGAAGAAAAAAAAGAGGTTAAGAGGTCTTGTATTTAAGGTTTTTATTTTGAAAGTAAACCATCTATATTTCAAAGAGCAATCTCGAAATTTTAAGTTAAAAGATGAATAATGATTTCTAAAAATGTGTGTTCAGCGTACGTTTAGGACTCTCTTTGTGAGGAGTTGTCAATTTTTATATTAAGGGTGTGTTTGGTACGAAGGAAAATGTTTTTTATGGAAAATGTTTTCCTAGAAAATAAGTAAATTTTGGACTTATTTTTTCATGTTTGATTGGTGAGTAGAAAATATATTCCGGAAATAATTTTTAGTGTTTGATTTATGAATGAAAAATATTTTTGAGGAACATCTTTTATTTTTACTAGAATACAAAATAATTTATGAAATTAAAAATACTTTTCAAAAAACAATTTTTTTTGGGTGGTGGTGATAGGGGGTGGGGGCTAGGTGTGGGGGAGGGGGTAGGAGTGAAAAAATAAAAATTTGAAGTTTATAATATTTTAAAAAATAAAATTAACTTTTTTGGGGGGTGGGGGTGAGGGGGCTGGTAGGGGTGGATAGGGGGGCTGGCGGAGGGGGGGGGGGAGTTAG